ATGCTGATTGGCCAGGGCTGTATGTGAATCATGATGGCTCTGCCCCTGATTTGACTGTCAGTCTCAGCCAATCCTATGGGGAAGCATTGTGATTGGATCAGGCTACCACTTCTGCTGATGTCCGTAGACAGTGGGCAGGTCAACAGGAACAAGCAAGCAGCTCCAGACATGAATACCAGTAAGATTTTACTATATTTAGGGAGGCAAGGGGGGACCAGAGGGGCTAGATGGTGGTTTTAATCCTAAAGGGTCAGGAATACATGTTTGTGTTCCTGACCCTATAGTGCTCCTTTAGATAAAGAAAAATTTACTGTAAAATATGGTGATGGATTCCTTATTATAAAACTTTTTTTTCCTGGTGTTAAGTTACACTTGCTAACAAGTGAAAAACATGCTTAACCATTATCGCTCTTTTGCAAGGAATGCTTGTTTATACACAAAGTAATCAAGTTTTTTAGCACTGCAGCCATTGTTAGTTGCATACATACCATGCCATTGGAATGATTGATTCCATTCATATTCATCTTAGTTACAAATCTAACAGTTGGTGGGGCTTCTGGGTATTTAGGTCCACATTCTATCTTCAAGCTGTATATTCTATTTTCATAGTTTGTCTGCAAAATTAAAAATCATAAGAATGGAATATGATTCACACACTTTACATAAAATGAAGATAGTTACTCCTACTGCTAGGAGGAGCCTGACATTTGTTTCACATGGCAATATAATGAATACGCTATACCAAAGATGTAAGGTTCGACTAAACACATCTAACAGGTTATTTGATTATACACCAAGTAGCTCATCTCCACTTGTGTTTCCATGAGATGCAACAACCAAAATAAAAGTATGTCATTGATTAGCTGCCCAACACAATGTTATAGTTACAAAGAAAATACGAAAGCTGCATAATATTAGTAATCTATAGAATAATCTGAACATGCATTTCTAAATTAACATTATTTAAAACGGATAAAAGCAAATATACGGTTAAACTGCTGGTTAAGAATCCTTAGCCCATTAAAGCAAACCTGTCACGCTACACAAAACTTGTATTAAAGTTAAAGAACATTTTCATCCCTGCATAATGCTAGCAAATGCTTACATTTTTAATTCAAAGTCCTCTACAGCGTTGCCCCCTCTCAATCACCAGGGGCATTCAGATCTAAGCAGAGTATGGAGTGACAAGGAGAGCGGGAGAACCCTCTTTCTGGCAGTTCTCCAGCTTTCTGTCATTGTGTTTACTCCCCCAGCAAGTGTTCTTGTGGTGTGTGTATAGGATGCTTTTATGCCAATATGCTGGCAATGAAGCCAATAGGTCAGTGTCAGACAGGATTGCCCTTTTTGGGGAAGTGTAACAAAATAGGGCAAATCTTAGCATAGATAGGGTGGCAGCGTAGGGTTACATAAAATAGTGCAAACATTCACACACAAAATTTAAGATGGAATATCCTGCTTTTTTTGTATTTGCAGCTATATAGGGTGTGAATGAGGGTGTGCCAGGTGCTGGCTATTCTGAAATGACTTAGTAATTTATAGAACTAAAATGTAACTTAGAACAAGTAAATAAGAATGTATCTTATTTATAGTAGTTTAATATTTATTAGTAATGTTTAATAAAAACATTAATATTATTACTGTAGAGCTCTGTTATACACTCAGACACAACAACAAGTTTTTCTTAGAAAAGAGAGAGAGAGAGAGAGAGAGAAGTGGGCCCAAAATAGGAACACTTGGGAGTTTTGACATATCTATAAATGGAAATTTCCACTTGTCCACATGCGTGTGAGGAGTGAAAACATCTTACAGACAGGTAGACAATGTATTACTGTGTTTATGGGGGAAATATATATTGTGCTCCATGATCCTAAAAATAAATTTTTTTAAGACATCCATTTTTTATTTAGGTAGAACAATACATGCATGGCCACTAAACACGCACAATCTGTACCTTTGTCATCATATACATAAAAGGTATTTAGAGTAGAAGACACGGACATAGAAATATAACTGAATAGGCATAGCTCCCCAGTACAGAATACAGTGTTGTAAGTAATCTATGATTGCACTGTCAAGAAGAAATCTTGAGCCGCGCAAGCATTCAGCCAGTCTACAGAAAAGCATTCTCAATGCTTTCCTATGGACGCTGGTGTCTTCTCACTGTGAAAAATCGCAGTGAGAAGCGCGGAAGCGCCTCTAGCGGCTGTCAATGAGACAGCCACTAGAGGCTGGATTAACCCATAGGTAAACATAGCAGTTTCTCTGAAACAGCTATGTTTACAGCAGAAAGGGTTAATCCTAGATAGACCTGGCACCCAGACCACTTCATTAAGATGAAGTGGTCTGGGTGCCTATAGTGGTCCTTTAAGTGAAGTGGAGGATTTTGTCCCAAATCAGACATGGGCTTAGTAAATGAATCTGTAAAAAACTCAAAGTTTGGAAACTAAAAATAGGTATATCTGTAATTTGATCATATAACTTCTCAAACATCTGGCAATGATGTACATTGGGGGTACTACTACATTTGGTTAGAGTTGCAAAATACTTGGGGTCTTTACACCAGTTGTACAGTCTGTGGAATTCCCATGAAAATGAAACATGGCAGATGACAAAATGGTTAAATGGAAATTATCTTAACTGTGGAAAAATGTTCTTTCATGTTTTAATATTTTATTGATACATAATGCTGTGCTGTATATACAAAGAGGGTATCAGATGAAAACCCTACCTGTCTTAATTATATTAAGCATGCACACAAAGTGAAAACATTAAACTATTGTAAAAAAACAACACATAGCTAAAATGCCAAATAGGTCACAAACGCATTAAGATGGGGTAAAGGAAAAGTTGTGAAGGGGTTAAGGACAGTGTCAATAATTATACTGAGCGGATGTTACTGAAGCATACTGGATCAAGCATGTAGTAGCCTCTTTGTTGCAACCGTTTCAAGGCTTATAAGAAAGATTGTAAAGAAATATCACTTTGTTGAGGTTTGGTTTTACCCTTATCTATACAAAATATTACAATAATCACATGGTTTTCAACACTCACTCTGGGAGGCCCAATTATCATTCCTGTCCATCTAGTGAGTGTCATATCTTCGTCATCTTCAAGGCCCCAACTGACTGTGCCATCTCCTACTCCTTTCTGCCCTTCTTCAAGTTCTTCCAATAATCGGAAATTACGAGGGACCTTAACACCTATTGGAATGTGACAAGTGATGAGTGCTGGTATGTGAGCGGTCAAGTAGACACTATATCAATAAATTGTAGAAACTTAGGTCAGATCGCTTATCTGGTTGCAAACATTAAAGGAACACTGTTAGAAATACAAAACTGTATACATGCATTTCTAAAAGTATCCACCTTCCTATTTATATTCCGCTCCATCTTCAAAAAGTCCAGTACAGCCATTTTACTCACCTTTCTCCTGCTGTGCCACTCTCGCCATTTTGCCATGAATCAACATTTCTGATGTTTTAGCCAATCCAATGTTTTTCCATCGGAATGCATTTGTGGGCTGTCGCACTGCGCCAATAAATGTCTCCGCATAGAGATGCATTATACCAATGCATCTCTACAAGGAGCGTTTGGCGTCTTCATGCCAAGCGTGAACACACCAAACAGTCATGCAAAATGTGCAGGAATGCAAGAGGAAGTGTCTCTAGTGAGTGTATGAGTAACAGCAACTAAAGGTGCAGATAAGAAGCAATGTAAATGCTATTTTTACAGTACTAAGACTGCAGGGACAATCTCTTAGCAGCAGAATCCATGCATTAAGATTACTATCACCGGCATTTATATAGCTCCAGCTTTATCTGCAGTGCTTTACAATAATATAAGGATGCAGTGATACCGGTGAATAAACTGTTCTTTTAATAAGAAAACACATGCACACTAATGTAAGGGTAACTGGTGACTATATTCTTTTATTTTTTATTACAACTTATAAAATAGTCGGAAATTTAATTTTTTTTCTTCTTTTTTAAATCATAAGAATTGCATTTCAGCACTTTAAGCTTTTTCTTTCAATATAATCTGCACTATGTAAGCAACTTGTCTGTATTCAAGAACAATTTAACAGCCCAGTCACAGACTTTCCAAGAAACTGAATACAGCTTTTTAAACTTTCAATTTTTTTTTCATTAGAAGAAATGCCAAACTTTCAGTTTACTTTAATACATTAGAAAACCTTCCAGTTCCAGTGAGCACTCTGTTTAAGAACAATCTCAATTTTCACAGATTACAATATTCATTCCATTAAAAACACTTTTGCACACTAAAAAAAAAAAAAAAAAAAGACGTACATCTGAATTCACTTGTAATGCGTACTGACATTTTTCCCCCTTATGTTCAGATTTACCTTTCCGTGGTTTTGCAAGTCATGTCAATTATAACGTTACACATACTTCCACTAACTTGAGGACACTCTTTGTATAGAGTCACCAATGGCTTCAAAGGGGATTCAACACAGAAGTTTGTCAATGCTTGCCCCAAAAATGATCTTAAAAATCAAGTCTAAAATGTTTTCCAAAAAAGAGGAAATAACCGACAACACTTGTAATTACAATGTCAGCTTTCAATATGCAAAAAAAACAAACAATTGCACACTGTTTTTTTTAGAACTCAGGACTTAAAGATATGAGATAAGAAATGTACTTATTGCTCCAGCAAAATGGTCGCAACATAGGATGTATGCACCTACCCCAAATGTATTTTTCAGCCTTCACACACAAGCTAAGCATTGATGGATATCAGGTAAATGTATGGAGGCAGGCAGATATCTATGTGAACTTGGTGTTACAGCCATAACTATAGTTTAATATTTCTAGGCCAAAGTAATAGCTACAACCAAAAAAATTTAAATCCTATGTTTGCATGTAGCTTGGTTATCGTATACAGACTAAATTTTATCATCTATTAAGCAACATCATCTAATTTTTGTATGACAAACACTTTAAATGTGTTAGAATTACTTCATCAAATGGCACTTCATCTTGCAAAATTTGGGATTAAATAAACATCTCAGGATAATGATGCTCCTGGGTCTTCACTATTCGATGAAAGCTCAGTTTGCTCATACAATACTTACAGCATCACAGTCCGTTTGATCCCAACAAGGTGGCAGTATTAACCTGAGCCACAAGTAACATTTTTGAAGTTCTGGTGGCTAGGCTGTCAGAATTTCCTTTAAAAAGTACACATGGACAGCGGTCTATTAATTTGAAAAATGTTAGTTTATATTTGAATTATATAAAATAGATTTAGAAATAAGTAGTGCTGCCAACGATGCCTTTGTTCAAGAGCATACAACACACACAAATATATATTCATCATAACTGAATTGATCTACTTGTGATTTAAAAAATAAAAAGCCCAATAAAAGCATGGTTAGAGCAAGATTGTGTCACCTTCCTTCAGTTAAGTGAACTTAATGTTTTACTGTAGTTTTTGGTAATAAGACTAACTGGGCGTCAAATTACATGCATACACTAATCTGAACAGGGTATAGTCCAACTCCAGAATCCCATTGATACTGTGTGTTATTACAATGACACCAGCACAGTAGGCTAAACATGGCACTTTATGGATTTGTGAATGTGAGCTTCCTATCCAGACTTCTTGCTCTCCTCTATCACTGCTCTGTGGATGTCAAATAACCAACAGGAAGTAAGAATGTGTGAGCCAGCAATCCCTGGGTATAGAGCAACCAAGGCGTTACCATGGGCTGGTTCAAAGCTAGGACCCAGGCAGTATTGCTGGAAGTACAGGGGGCAGGGGCTGGTTCAGGCAGAGTACAGTGCTAGGGCCCAGGCTGTATAGCTGGAAGGGAGGAGGCAGGGCTGGCCAGGGTTCTGGTTCTAGAACCCAGGTTGTATAACTAGTACCCCAGGCTGTATAACTAGTACCCCCAGGCTGTATAACTAGTACCCCCAGGCTGTATAACTAGTACCCCCAGGCTGTATAACTAGTACCCCCAGGCTGTATAACTAGTACTCCCAGGCTGTATAACTAGTACTCCCAGGCTGTATAACTAGTACTCCCAGGCTGTATAACTAGTACTCCCAGGCTGTATAACTAGTACTCCCAGGCTGTATAACTAGTACTCCCAGGCTGTATAACTAGTACCCCCAGGCTGTATAACTAGTACCCCCAGGCTGTATAACTAGTACCCCCAGGCTGTATAACTAGTACCCCCAGGCTGTATAACTAGTACTCCCAGGCTGTATAACTAGTACTCCCAGGCTGTATAACTAGTACTCCCAGGCTGTATAACTAGTACCCCCAGGCTGTATAACTAGTACCCCAACTAGTACCCCCAGGCATGTATAACTAGTACCCCCAGGATGTATAACTAGTACCCCCAGGATGTATAACTAGTACCCCCAGGCTGTATAACTAGTACCCCCAGGCAGTATAACTAGTACCCCCAGGCAGTATAACTAGTACCCCCAGGCAGTATAACTAGTACCCCCAGGCAGTATGTATAACTAGTACCCCAGGCAGTATAGCTAGTACCCCCATGCATAACTAGTACCCCAGGCAGTATAACTAGTACCCCCAGGCAGTATAACTAGTACCCCAGGCAGTATAACTAGTACCCCAGGCAGTATAGCTAGTACCCCCATAACTAGTACCCCAGGCAGTGTATAAGGCTATAACTAGTACCCCAGGCAGTATAACTAGTACCCCAGGCAGTATAGCTAGTACCCCCAGGCAGTATAACTAGTACCCCAGGCAGTATAACTAGTACCCCAGGCAGTATAGCTAGTACCCCCATGCAGTATAACTAGTACCCCAGGCAGTATAGCTAGTACCCCCAGGCAGTATAACTAGTACCCCCAGGCAGTATAACTAGTACCCCAGGCAGTATAACTAGTACCCCAGGCAGTATAGCTAGTACCCCCATGCAGTATAACTAGTACCCCAGGCAGTATAGCTAGTACCCCCAGGCAGTATAACTAGTACCCCAGGCAGTATAGCTAGTACCCCCATGCAGTATAACTAGTACCCCAGGCTGTATAACTAGTACCCCAGGCAGTATAACTAGTACCCCAGGCAGTATAACTAGTACCCCAGGCAGTATAGCTGAGTGGAGGCAGGGCTGGGGGCCATGGATGATGAATGAATGGCAGTCCCCGATGGGAGGATGCAGTGTGTGGCCCCTGTAATAGGATAGCCGGAGCCCTGGCCGTGCAGTAAGCAGAGCACAGACTGGCTGCAGCGAGGCCGCACACTGAGAGCAGTGACAGTGACGGGAAATGGTGGCCGGCACTGAGGGAGGAACAGGTCATGGAGATACGGCATAGAGGCTGTCTGTACAACACGTGGAGCAGGAGGAGGCCTCGGTCTCCATCCCTCACACCCGCCAGGCCCCGCACACAGACCTGAGCACACCGCCATCTTCTCCGCCGCCCAGGACCGGAGCGCCCACACCTCGTGACGTCAACACGTCGAAGGGCGACATGACGTCCAACCTCACGCCCAGACCATACGTCACGTCCGGCGGTTTAGAAGATCCAATAGCGAGTCAGTGAGGGAGGGCAGATAGTTTTACAGTCAGACTGCGTTCTGTCCTTATGTGGGGAATTAGCTCAAATGGTAGAGCGCTCGCTTAGCATGTGAGAGGTAGCGGGATCGATGCCCGCATTCTCCAACAGTCTTTTTTGTGAATATTTTTTATTTATAAAACGTTGCTCATTGTTTTCCTACTTATATCCAGTTTTGATGTATTAAAGGGATTCTGTAGGGTAGGGCAGTGCTTCCCAAACTATATGTTACGGCTCTCCCGGCCTAAAGAGCTTCCCTTTTGCGGAGGTTCTGGCACAGCCACTGTAAGACCCCAAACTCCCGAACTGGACCCAGGGGAATGCTCCAAACTCCCGAACAGTATACCCAATAGCACTCCAAACCCCCGAACGGTAATCCCACGAATCGCTGCTAACAGACGAAAGACACTGCATCCAAGCGGCTTACACTCCCAGCAATCAGTCTTTAACCGCGTACAGTAAATCCCCCCAATTACGAGACCAAGCTGCGTATTGAGGGTAAAACAGGATTCTGGTTTATTGAGGTCTCCCTCCTGGTGGACACTCCCCTAGGGGACCAGTTGGGAGACTGTGACAAGGGACAGACACGTAGCAAATCCTGACACACAGATACAAAATATCCCCACAATGCACCACAACGCATCCCTCTCTGTCCGGGAGATAATTGGGAACAGAGGCAAATCGCCATTACACACGTGGGGACAATGATACAGAAAAAGGCAATAAAATATACGATGTGACCAATAATGCAACAATTATACACATGTAACATATCCCCAGATAGCTCAGGTCTGAGCGCACATTAATAGAGAATAATACTCAGACCACACAAATACAGTTTAATTGCCATGGAGCCAAAGTCTTTAATTACACGAACAGGCTCCATGGCATGCTATCTGGGTACCCTCATTCATATAATACAAAGTCCCGAAAGCCAGCGTTCGGTTGAATAACTGGCTTTGGAATCAAGGAAGGCTGTAGGTTCAGCGGTGTTTGTTGAGTGAAAGTGTCCGTTTTCAGCTCACTGAGTCTGGGCTGAGCACTTCTGTTTGTGCCGGAGACTGTAGAACACCACCATCGTGTGGCAGCTAGGTGTAACCCGACCACCCGGGAACAGTCAATTAAGCTGCGGTTAATCGCAGCTACTGGGTTGTCAATTGACGGCATAGGCTAGCTGCAGGGAGATCAATTGGAGGCAGACGCCAGCTTCCCCGTGGTCGTGCCTTCGTTCGGCTTTCGGTTGTTTAACAGGGGAACACATAGGGAATGTACAGGCAGGGAAATAAACTGAACAAACAGACGAATGGAGGGAAAATAATTGTAATCCATATACAGACAGTTCTGTTACACATCTCCCTCCTTGTGGGACACTAAGGTAGACCCGGCTTGACCCTTCTCGGGTCAACTTGGGGATGTCCGGAACTCGGGTGCCGGAGTGATGTCTGTTTGCTGGGACAACCCATCAGCATTGCCATTCTGTTTACCGGGTCTATAACTGATGGTAAAATTGTAAGGTTGCAGGGCCAAACTCCACCGTAGCAACCTGCCATTGTCTTCTGAGACCCGGTAAAGCCAGACCAATGGGTTGTGGTCGGTAATAAGAGAAAATTCCTGCCCGTACAGATAAGGGGTAAACTTTTTCAGTGCCTAGACCAGGGCTAGACACTCTTTCTCCACTGCCGCATAGCTCACTTCCCTGGGTAGTAGTCTCCTGCTTAAGTATGCGACAGGGTGCTCTCCTCCATCCTCCCCGACTTGGCTCAGCACAGCCCCCAGTCCATACATGGAAGCATCTGTATGAACTTTGTTAGGGACTGGGGCAGCCAAGACAGGGGCATTAACAAGAGCCTGCTTAAGTACCTGGAATGTGGCTTCACAAGCTGGAGACCACAGGGCCTGCTTAGGTAAGTTTTTCTTAGTCAGGTCAGTCAGGGGCTTAGCTATGGCGCTGTAATTGGGGACAAAACATCTATAATACCCTGCCTTCCCCAAGAAGGCTAGTACCTGGCTCTTAGTGATAGGTGTGGGCCAGTTAGCCACTGCCTCTACCTTGGCTGGCTCTGGTCTCTGGTTTCCACACCCCACTCTGTGACCCAGGTATTGCACTTCAGCCATGCCTAGATGGCACTTGTCTGGCTTCAAGGTCAGGCCAGCGGCCCGAATCTTGTCCAGAACTACCCCTATGTGTATCAAATGCTCCTCCCAAGACTCACTGTAGATCGCAATGTCGTCCAGATATGCACAAGCAAATTCCTGGAAGCCATCGAGTAGTTTATCCACCATACGCTGAAAGGTAGCAGGGGCATTCTTCATCCCAAATGGCATGACCCTAAATTGGTACAGGCCAAACGGGGTGACGAAGGCCGACTTGGGGATAGCATCCTCGGCCAGGGGAATCTGCCAATAGCCCTTACACAGGTCTATGGTAGTCAGATAGCGCCCCCTAGCAATCCGATCTAGTAATTCGTCTACCCAGGGCATCGGGTAGGCGTCAGTGGTGGTCTTCTCATTGAGTCGCCTGTAGTCCACACAGAACCGGGTGGTCCCATCTTTCTTGGGCACCAGGACCACAGGCGAGGCCCAAGGACTATTGGAGGGCTCAATGACCCCTAGCTGGGTCATCTCCTGTATCTCCTTCCGCATTCCTTCTTGGACTGCTTCAGGGATACGGTAAGGGGGTTGTCGCAGGGGAGTCTGTCCAAGAGTCTCTACCTTATGTACAGCCAGGGTCGTATAGCCCGTGTCTTGGGAGAAAGTCGCCTGTTTCTCCCACAGCAGCCTCTGAGCCTGTTCCTTTTCCGCAGGGCTTAACCTGTCCCCTAGCTCTACAAGGCTCATCAAGTCAGTCTGGGGGTCCCTTTCCAGTAAGTCAGGTAGAGGTAACCCCTCTGAGACGTCTGCAGCCGGAGCACACACTGCAGCGACATCTTCCTATCTCTCCTGATACTCTTTCAGCATGTTCACATGAAAGGATCGCTGGATCCTTTCATCTGCACAGCTGGCAACGTCATAGGTAGTGTCACATACCTGGGCTACTACCTTGTATGGGCTCTGCCAAGATGCTTGCATCTTGTCTGTCTTCACAGGTTTGAGCACTAAAACCTTTTGGCCAACCTAGAAGACCCGCTGCCGGGCACCCTGATCATACCACCTCTTCTGTCTCCCCTGGGCCTTCTGAAGATTCTCTCTTACCATCAGAGACAGTTTCTCCATGCGCTCCCTGAGTTCCAGAACATATGGCACGATGGAGGTCCCTTACTGCTCTGTCTCTCCCTCCCAGTGCCTTCTAATGAGATCTAGGGGTCCGCGGTCCCTTCTCCCATAGAGTAACTCTAAGGGGGCGAACTCAGTAGATTCCTGGGGCACCTTTCTGTACGCAAATAACAGATGAGGCAGGAATCGCTCCCAGTCTCTGCAAGCATCAGTAAAGGTCCTCAGCATCTGCTTGAGGGTCCCGTCAAAGTGCTCACAGAGACCGTTAGTCTGTGGGTGGTAAGGGGAACTAAGCAGCGGTTTAATGCTGCACACCTTCCACAGCTGCTGGGTGAGCACAGCTGTAAATTGGGTTCCCTGGTCGGAGAGAATCTCTTTAGGGAACCTGACCAGGGTAAAAATCTTAACCAGGGCATCAGCTACTGTGTCTGCCTCTATATTAGACAGCGCTACTGCCTCTGGATAACGGGTGGCATAGTCCACCACGGTGAGAATATATTTCTTCCCGGATGGACTAGCCCTGGCCAGTGGACCCACAATGTCAATGGCTATGCGGGAAAAGGGCTCCACAATGATAGGTATAGACATAAGCCTAGCTTTTGGGTGGTCCCCCCGCTTTCCTACCCGTTGACATGTGTCACACTTCCTACAATACTGTCGCACAGCCTGGTTAAAATTTGGCCAGAAGAAGTTCTGAGTAATCCTATGTCCTGTGCGACGGGACCCTAGATGTCCAGCTAATGGCACATCATGCCCAATTCGCAGAATCTCTTGCTGGTATTTCTGGGGCACCACCAGCTGGCGTTTCTGCGAAGGGGCTTTACTTTCTGGGATGGCTTAGGGACCCTATACAGTCTATCCCCCACCCACTCATAGCGCTCCCCGTCTACCCCCTCTTCCCGGGCACCTGCCTTAGCCCTATATAAAATGAAGTTGGTTACTATACCTTTAAGACTCTTAAGTACTATTTAGGATTTTTATAAGACTCCTTGTCATGTTTTCGAGTTTTCTCTATGGATGTGTTTAACTAACATGTGATGCAATTCATTAATTAGTTTAATTGGGGTGGGGGTTATTTAAGCACTTTGTTATGTTGTATCCCTTATACATGATTAAGGCTCTGTTGAGCCGAAACGTTGCACTTTATGAGGTGGTGTATCCAGAAATAAACTTACCTTCTTGATCCTGTAGTGTTGCCTGTGTTCCTCTGCTTCTGTGAGTCTACTGGTGGATTCAGCTTTGTCCACCTTTTGCATGGAGCACCTTCACTACAGAAGGCCGGAACTTTCAGGTGGAACCTGTGTTCAGGGTTTCTTGTTTCTGTCGTACAGATATAGGCACTAACATACATGTAGATACATGCCCTGACACACAGATACGGATACATACCCTGACACACATGCAGATACACACACATAGATACATACACTGACACACTTAAGGATACATACCCTGACACACAGATACATACACTGACATGCAGACACATATACTGACAAGCATACAGATACACAGACACATATATATAGATTGTAAGCTCAAGGGCCATCTAGCTAAGCACTTTGTATAAAGAGCTCCAATGGTTAGATATCAGCTTACGGGCAGGGCTCTCTTACCTCTTGTATTTGTTTGTGTTTATTGTACGTTTCTCAACTAATTGTACAGCGCTGCGGAATCTGTGTGCGCTTTATAAATTGCAATAATAATAATAATAATAATATATACATACCCTGACACA